GTTACATTCCTTTCAAATGGGTGAAGTAAATCATGAACAAACTTAATGATTCTCATTTGAATAATTTATTCTAAACCACAAAGTGTTCCTTTACATATAATTTTCAACATATATTTTTGAAACTACCCCTATTATTATATTAATAAAATTTTCCTAGGTTATCTCTGAGATGTATAATAAGGAATATAAACAAAACCACATAATGGTATAGAAAATATACTAGTTTCCTTTAGTTTTTGTTAAAATTGTTCCTTATTTTTTATGAGTACAAGACAAGGGTGGATTGTATCTTAATAAATTTTCACATTGTTTCCTAGATATATTTAAAAAAAAGAGATGATAAGAAAGCTGAATGCAGATCAGCAACTTGGTTACATTAAATCCAGGAAGAATGAATAGGAACACGCTTCCTTTCTTAATCAAAAAGCTTTTCAGGTCCATTAGGAGCACTTGAAAATGCTTACCATCAAGAAAGTCATGAAATTCTGAGTGTTCCTTAAAGAGATTTTGAAATTCTAACGGAAGAAATAAGCATCACTACATTTTCATAAGTTTCCTCTGTCCTTAGTCTTTAGGGGACAGAGGGTCACTGCTGATGAATGTCTTGCCTGTTTATCCTTGGAGCAATAATATTTGTTAAAGTCTAGGTACCAAAGATATACTCAAGGTCATATTTTGGCTCTCATGCACTTGTTTTCATTTTCTTCAACTTCAGTTTGAATTTGCATATGAGCAACTGGTGGTCTGTTTCACAATCTGCCCATGGTCTTGTTTTGGCTGATGGCATGGAGCTTTTCTATCGTCTCTTTCCTCAGATGTAGTCAATTTGATTTCTGTGTATTCCATATGGTGAGTTCCATGTGTATAATCGTCTCTTATGCTGTCTAAAGAAGGTATTTGAAATGAACAAATCATTGGTTTGCAGAATTCTATCTTGCAATCTCCAGCATCATTTCTATCACCAAGGCCATATTTTTTAACTACTGATCCTTCTTCTTTGTTTCCAACTGTTGCATTTCAATCACCTATAATGATCAACAAATACTTGCTTGCTGAAAGTGAAGAGGACTTTAAATACCTACTAATGAAGATCAAATAGCACAGCCTTCAGTATGGATTGCAACTCAATGTAAAGAAAAAAAAATCTTCACCACTGGACCAATAAACAACATTCTTATCAACGGAGACAAGACTGAATTTGTCAAGGACTTCTTTCTTTTTAGATCTAACATCAACACTCATGGAAGCAGCAGTCAAGAAATCAAACAACATATTGCGTTAGGCAAATCTGCTGCACAAAACCTTTTTAAAGTGTTGAAGAACAAAGATGTCAGTTTGAGGACTAAGGTGCTCCTGATTCAAGCCATGGTTTTTCAATAACCTCACATGCATGTGAAAGCTGGACAGTGAATAAACAAGACCGTAGAAGAATTGATGCTTTTGAGTTATGGTGTTGGAGGAGGATATTGAAAGTACCAAGGACTGCCAAAAGAACCAACAGGTCTGTGTTGGAGGAAGTGCAGCCAGAGTGCTTATGGAGAAACTTCATCTCTCATACTTTGGACATATTATCAGGAGGTACCAGTCCTCAGAGAAGGCCACCATGCTTGGTAGGGTGAAGGGTCAGAGAAAAAGAGGAAGACCCCAGTGAGATGGATTGGCAAAGTGGCAGCATCAACGGGCTCAAGCATGGCAAAAATTGTGAGTTGGCCTAGGATCGGGCAGTGTTTCATTCTGTTGTGCATAGGGTCACCATGAGTCAGTACGAACTCGATGGCACCTAATAACAACAATAACAACAGGTACCAACGAGAGTAGGGGAATGCTGTCTCTCATTCTTTAATTATGTCTTTAATTATGTCTCACTTTTTTCCAGCCTGCTCTTCCTAGAATGCACCAACACTCCCACTGGAGGGACTTTGCCCTGGCTATTCTACCTGTGCATCAGGGCTATATCATTTCACCATAGTTATTCCATCAATATACAGAGCAAATAATCCAAGAGGCTAGATTATATAAAGAACATGACAACAGGATTGGAGGAAGACTCGTTAACAACCTGTGACATACAGATGACACAACCTTGCTTGCTGAAAGCAAACAGGACTTGAAATAATTACTGATGAAGAGCAGTATGGGTTGTACCTCAATATAAAGAAAATGAAAATCCTCGCAACTTGACCAATAAATAACATCATGATAAATGGAGAAAAGATTGAAGTTGTTAAAGACTTCAATTTGCTTGGATCCGCAGTCAATGTTAATGAAAGGAGCAGTCAAGAAATCAAACGACATATTGCATTAGGCAAATCTGCTACAAAAGATGTCTATAAAGTGTTCAAGAGTAAAGACGGCAGTTTGAGGACTAAGGTGGGCCTGACTTCTGCCATGGTATTGTTAATCACCTCATATGTATGTGAAAGCTGGAAGACAAATAAGGAAGACCATAGGAGAAACTATGCATTTGAATTATGGTGATGTCAAAGAATATTGAAAGTCTCAGAAGAAATGAGGAGAGCGAGACTTCTTTTCTTATACTTTGGCTGTATTATCAGGAGAGTCTAGCCTATGGAGAAGGACATCATGCTTAGAAAAGTAGAGGGTCAGCAAAAAAGAGGGAGACCCCCAATAAAATGGGGGTCGGCATGGGCTCAAACATAACAATTGTGGAAATGGAACAGGACTGGGGATTATTCTATTGTGCATAGGTTACACAAGCCAGAACCAACTCAATGGCACCTAACAGCATAGAAATTTCTTCTGAGGGAAATATCCAGAAATCTTCATGGCTAACTCTGCCTACAGAATTTTGCTTAATTTTCACTCATTGAAGCCCACCCTGAACATGTTACCAATGACCACCACCATCCTCTCCCCAGGACTCATTATTTTCTTTACCGTGCTTTATTTTTCCATATAACACATATCCTCTAATATCAATATCATTTATCAATTTTATTAATGATGCCATCAATACCATTCTGTTTCCTGATGAACACACAGTGCCTACAAGTGTCTAGTACAAAATAGGTTTTAAATAACTAGTTTTTGAATGAATGAAAGAATGACCAAATGTATTCCCATTTAAAAAGAAAATGCTAACCTAAGGGTTAGTATAGAATATTAATTCCTGCAATGCCTTAGTCAATTATGGAATTGGTTCAGATAAAAAGTTTCCAATTTTTTCAAATACCCTAAGCAGAGCCCAAATACATGTATATCTTCTCTGCCATACCCTTTCCGAGTCTCTAAAGCCTTGTAGTTTTGAAAGTGAACACTTCAAGTTATGCCACCACCGACTAATCTAAGAAAGAGCCACATGAATGAGCCCAGTCTTTGTTCGGAGGCATAAAAACAAAATCTTATAGAAAAGGTAGAAGGAACTGTTTGGTGCAAAGAGAGATGAAAGTGGGAAAACAACAGTTCTGCCTGCATTATACGACTGGAACAAACTGAATAGATCAGCATGACCAATAGAGTTCTCTGTGATGATGTAAATGTTCTATTTCTACACTATTCAATATGCCAGTCACTAACCACATGGGGCTAATGTACATTTGAAGTGGAACTAGTGAGACTGAAGAACCAACGGAACATTACAATTTTATTTAATTTAAAGTTAAATAACCACATGTGACTACCATGCTAGACAATACAAAGTATAAACTCTACCTGTGTTATAAATTAGAGAGGACAACATTATGTCTTTAAAAAAAAACAAAATTCAGCCAAAGTTATTCTATACTTTCATTCTTGGAATGTTTTTGTGATGTTCTGAGGAAAACTTCAAAAATGCAAATTCAAAAACCTAGGACAGTCTAGGCAGACAGCATTTGGAACTGTCTCCATTATAGATAAGGTCTGAAAATTAAGCACACAAGCTTTTAGTATATACCACTAACTGCTTTTTCACCTTAAAAAAAAAAGAAAAATCTAAACATGTTCAGAAACCCTTCTGATTTCAGGATAGAGTGTTGAATCATTTTAATCTACATATCCTTTCTTTTTATATTACATATAAATATTAATTCATAAATTTAAGTATAGGCCAAAGTTTATATAAATTAAAAACTTTCTTTCATAGAAAAATAAAAATAATTATAGCCAGGCCTAAGCTATGTGTATGGGTATGGGAGGAGGTGGAGGTAGAGATTTGGCAAACTAACATCAGGAGATGTCTAGCCCTTTAAGTGCCCTCAACTTTTCTGGAGAAGTCCTTCAGCTTTTAAAAAGGTTGTCCTACAAAGGAGGCTAACTTGACATATTCTGATTTGCCTTATGAAATAAGTCAAATCACAGAGTAGAATAATGGATGTTAAAGTCTAAGGAATGAAGTACTAATGTAATGGCTATGAAAGAAGATCTCAGTTAATATTCTTTCTTTGTAATATCAAATTTTGCTGGTACTTCATATGTGTATATATAGCAATAGATACTAAATTGGTCAGCCACCTTGAATATATGTTAAATGACACTCATAAAGTAGGTCCTATTAAGAAAATTGATTGGATTCCATTACGTTTTAATGTCTTCTTAGTTTAAAGCTCTAAAACGCGCAATACATCTTGTCAGATGCCCTTGACATACAGATATCTGCTGCATATAGAACATTGCCATACTCTTAATCAACTATTCAACCTATGGCAAAATAGCATTTTAGATTACATACAATAAAAATTTCAAAAAGAACTCGTTGTTCCACTCTTTATGAAATGTTTATGAAATGTTAATCAATTTTGCACCGTTTTACAGAATATACACTGTTTTATGCAGGCAGTATTTCAGAAGCAAAGATAATCTGCAACAGAATTTGAAATATTTTTTAATGATTATTCAAATCACTGGTATTTGACTTGAGATGCATTTTGACTTTTAACTTCTTTCTAACTGCATTTTGCTTTGTATTTTACAGCCCATAAACTTGCCCAAGTGTGCTTAGAATTAAAAGTGGAAAATTAAAAATCAGATCATTGAAAGCTGATCTTTTGAAATACTGATCATCAGTATTTTGAAATAAGCTGATCATCAGTAGCATTTTCTATGAATTGAATACAAGAGGCTGCCGTTTCTTCAATGGATTTTGACCAGCCACCAATATCTCCAGCAAAGTAAGGAAGGATGCTAGAAGAAATCTGATTAAAGTAAGATACCTGTTTCAAAAAGAAAACACAAGATTTTAATTTACAGTCTTATTGATTTAGAACGTTTTCAATCAGGAATCTGAATCTCTATGGTAAGAGGGGAGAGGCTATTTATTACCCTTATCTTCTGGGAACCTTCTGGAATAAATTTGAAATGTTGATTTTAGGATTCACCCAGTATAGATATATATCACAGAATTACAACCAACTAAGAAATATGGGCAAATTAAGGGATTTCTCTATATCTGTAAGTGCAAATGAGTCTGCAGATGTTTCATGATACTTACAGTGCATGAGTCGCTGTCAATAACATGAATTAGAAATCCAGCACATATGATTTCACTTCTGATGTACTGTTGACAAGGCGGAACCGATGGCAGAAGAACTGATTTCACTGCTACCATGTAAGTGTTACTGAAAGATTGATGGGACATTTTCTAAGTTCTTGCAAGAAATGAAGAATATTTGTTGGGAAATAAGATACTAAAGTGTTTGAAATTTGTTTATGAAGGTAGAAATAAAACAACGAAGACCCAGATCTTCTAGATCAGTGGTCTGCACTAGCAAACGTTCTCTATGGCTACATTCAAGTATATATAGCAGTAATACATTCTAGGAAATGCAGTAATAAGGACAACAGATGTTTTCTGCCTAGAAACTGATATACTCTGCTTCACACCACAAGGACATAATCAATCTCCAAATTGAAGTTTTGTGTGTGTGTGCCCTAACGAGTTGAAATTTCAGTCCCTTACCTTTTTACTTACAAAAACAATGCTCATTGTTAAAATCAAAAGTCAAAAATCAAATATCAAAAAATACAGAAATCTATAGGCTGAAAAATAAAGGTTTTCTTTCACTTACTGTAATTCCAAACTTACCTCCCACTCTAGAGTTGTCCACTCTTAACATTTTATTGTGTATCGTACCAGAACTTTTCTTAAATGCACAGTAGCATTTATGTAAGCAAATGTACATATATAGATTTTTACAGGGTCACTGTAAGTCAGAACTGACTCACAGACACTTAACAACAATAATGGTTACTTTAGGAATTGATCTACAATTTGACTTTTCTTCTAGCAACAGATCTTGGAGGTATTTTCATATCAGTGCATTTTTAGCTATATCATTCTTTGTAATGATGGCCCAGTGCTCTGTGGTGTGGATTTACTAAAATTTAGAAGAAGGATATTCAGTTTGTTGCTAACATATTTTGCAATGACAAATGATACTACACTAAAAGTTCATGTACATTAACATTCATACATATGTAAGATTGTAGCTATAGGACATTCTGGGAACTAGGAATGATTAGACCAGTTAAATGTATAAACCTTTAAAGTCCTGTTAACTTCTGCTGTTTTCCTCTTTAAATACCTGTTCTTAGGACATTCAGGACATCGTTTGAATCTTTGAATGACAAAAATCTGTTTCTGTTGCTGAAATTGTCCTTATTTACCTTCATTCTTAAAGACATTTTTTTCTGGGGATAAAAAAAAATTGGTAATTGTTTCTTCCAATATTCTAGAAGTATCATTTTAATGTCTTTGGTTTCCATTTTTTTCTTCAGTTTAAGTATGCTTAAAAAATAATCTGTCTTGTAAGATTCTCTTCTTAAAAACTGGTTTTCAGCAGTTTTAATATGGTATGATTTTGTGTGGTTTTATTTTACTCATCTTGATTAGACCTTGTTGGTGTTCTCAAACATGGAGCTGGTGTTTTTAATCAAATTTGAAACACTCTCTTTGATGAGCTCTTTAAATATTACTTATGTCCCCTTTTCTCTCTTCTGGACATTCAATAATCTGCATATTTGTTTTTATTACTATATAGCTTATCCTATCTTTGATATTATCAATCCTTAATACTTCTTTCTTTCAGTTTGAATACTTTGTCATCCATTTCATTAATTCTCTCTTTATCTATGTCTAATTAGTTGTTCTTATAGAAGTCAGTTCTAGGATTTCTATTTTTTTCTTTCTATAATTTTAAATTATCTGTTGAAATTGTCAATCTTATAGTCTACCTTGTTGGATATATTAGATGTAGTTACTTTCAAAACTGTGTCTAATACCCCCATTATATGGAGGTCTTATAAATCTCTTTATATTTTATTTTTGTTTCTCTTGGAATTTGTTTGCATTCTGAAGTCTGTTGTGTGCCCTACTAGTTTTTGAATGGATGTAAGACACTATCATTCTAGCATACAGCTAAAGAAATAATTTGAGGCATAAAGTGACCTATTTTGGAGAGGATTTATATTTATTTCTGGCACACAGCTATGAAACTAGCTGTACAAGAAACCCTTAATCTAATTTTCTAGTCATCAATGAGTAAAAAATATGTGTCTGTCCCAGGGAGAGCCAGTCCAGTTTCAGCTGGAATTTACCCCTAAGAAGTTGTCCTGTAGGGTCTAAAATTCAGGAGTGAAGGATTAACCATTCCACCTCTTCTCATAAGTCTGTCAAAAACAGCTGCCTTGTTGGAATTGTTTCTAATGGTAAACTGACCCCAAAATGCTACAGTCACCTTCTGAGACTTCTGTTTTCTTTAACATCTTGCATTTGTTACCTTTCACTGCCTTGTTTACATTTTAATAGATTTAACAAAGTATCTCCATTAACTATATGGCAGTTGACTGGATTAGTTAACAAATTACCACAAATTGGGTGGTTTAAAACCATAGAAATGGATTACCTCAGTTCTAGAGGCTAGAAGTCCAAATTCAAGCTGTTGGCAGGAATATGCTCTCTCTGAAGGCTGTTCCTAGCTTTGGTGGTTATCAGCAATCCTTGGCATGCTTTACCTTGTAAATATCATTCCAACCTCTGCCTCTATCATCACATGACATTCTTTCCCATATGTCTGTTTCTATGTCTCCTTTCCTCTTCTTATAGGGATGTAATTCCTATTGGTTTAGGGCCTTCTTAATTTGGGCCAGTATGACCTCATTATAATTTGATTGCATCTGCAAAGATCCTATTTCTTAATAAGGTTTCATTCATGAATACTGGGGCTTAGGATTTCAACACATATTTTCAGGTGACACAATTCAACCCACATCATCCCAAGTTAGAAAACGTTATTTTTGTGGCTCCTAACTCAATTCATGGTGTTTCATTTGGCTTTCGATGTATTTTGACTAGTAATGGAATGCTCTAAGGATTTTCTAAATATAAGTTTTGCATTTGCTTAGGGCCATAGGAAGGAGAACTGCTGCAGAAGCATGGTGCTTCTCACACACCATGCACTCACTAGATACTTATTACTGTGTGTGTGTGTGTGTGTGTGTGTGTGTGTGTGTGTGTGGTAATAATAGCTAAAGCTCCACCTAGGGAAAAAAAATCAAATGAACACCATTCAAGACCATAAATGCCTACATTGACTTCTTATTTTCATATCAGTTTGTAAGCAAGGTCAGTAGTTCAACTCCACCGTTCCTCGGAAACTCCATACAGGTTTGCTGTAGATCAAAAACAACTTAACAATGGCACTTAACAATAAAACAATGGCACTTGAACCATAAATACTTACCCATCTCTAGGAGGCTTTCTTCGGGATACAAGTACTACCAAGTCTTTGGGTTTGCCACCATTCGCCGCAGGACAGGTGATATAATAGATCTGATCATCTGCAGTCACCCAATCTATGACTTCACAGGATCTATGTAAATAGAACAATGGTGAGAGAAAAGGCTTGCGTTTTTATTTCTGCAATTATAGGGAGTCCTGGTGTGTATCTGTAGGATACGCACTGGGAACTGCAAGGTCGGTTTGAACTGCAAGGTTGGTGGTTCAAGTTCATCAGTTGTTCCTTGAAATCTTACACAGGGTTGCTATGAGTTGAAACCAACTCTATGGGACTTAACAAAAATGACAGGGTATTCACTTCTTTTATTTGCTCATACAATCTCATCATTGGGGTTCATCTTTACTCCTTTAGCTTACCTCACCATTCCATCAAAGTTAGTTTCATTGCTCAAAGTCTGCCTTAAGAATGAAGTTATGGTTAGAAAAAGAAAAAATGTTTCATGTGGAAGTAAGAATGGTGGCCCCTGACTCTAATTTCATTGCCCTCAGCACTTCAGAGAAAGGCATTTAGCAGTTTCTAAAATATCAATTTTTCTTCAGGATCAAGTAAGCATTGTTTAAAGACTAGTAAGGTATCTGGACAGTTCACAAAGAATTATTAAGTAAAGAAATGTGGAATATTGAAAAGACCACTAAGCTTGAAGTTAAACAATTTGCCTATGTTAGCTTTATTTTTTCACCTGTAAACTGTAAATAATAAAACATATTGCACTGGTTTATTGTAAGAATTAAACAATAGCATCTGGTACAAGATCTGAATTATAGCAGGCATGTAAAAAGTTAGTTGAATTATATTTCATTTCTCCAGTTATTCAAGTTCAGTTTGGCTGGAATGTCATGTTACATAGACACATCCAGTGCATAAAGATCAATATCCCTGGTAACCAGGGATGTGGCCAGTCCTTACCCTCACCAATCCAGTGACCAGTGGAACCCCTCCTAAGCAGCCTTTGCTCTATCTGGAGTCAAGTGCCTGGCATACCGTCCCTGCATCTGGAGGTGTATGAGCCAACTCTAAACTACACTACACAGACAATGAACAGAAAACTAACTTCGTTAACTCTTCCAGTCTCTGCCACACCCATCAGTGAGTACCTAAGAATGCACCAATTTATAATCATCAATTAAATATAAATACTCATAGGGAATAATGCCCAAAAGTTGTTGGAAGACAACTTCCTTAACATCATGGAAGATGAAAAGATAGCCAAAATGTCTCTGAAAAAGCAAACAATTTCAACTTACACAAAGAAACAGGACAGAGTGCTTCAAATAGGTGACCAAAATACCAAGTCAGAAAATAAAACCCCAGAAATGGTATCAGAACCCCCTAATAAGTAATTTAAAAGAATGCTAATTAGGCAACTTCAACAGATTAAAAGAATGGTCACAAAAACTGCAGATGAAAAACAGGAAAACACAGAAAAACTATGGACAAATTCAGGAAACTGACAAAATAATTGAAAAAATGGGACCCATGCAAAAACATCAATTAGAAAGTTTAAAGATTTTAACTTTTTAAGACTTCAAAAATAGATATTACACTGAAAGGGCAAAGAAATAGAATTAAATCAATGGAAAACCAAATTATTGAGATTGAAGGAAAATATTTCAATATTCATCTGCTAGAGGAACAATTAGTAACAAAGAACAAAAAAATCCCAAGATAGCCTAAGATTTATGTGGGACACTATCAAGAGGAATAACTTACATGTGAAACAAATTCCAGAACAGTAAGAGACAAAAAACACCCATAGGGAATATATTCCTAAGAGTTGTTGGAAGAAAATTTCCCTGACATCATGGAAGACAAGAAGATATCCATTCATGAAGTTGAATGAACTCCAAACAGGAGAGATCCCAAAAGAAAATCACCAAGATATATATAATCAAACTTTTCAAAAACCAAAGATAAGACTGGGATGCTCCTGCATTGCTGGTGGGACTACAAAATGATCCAACCTCTTTGGAAAGCAATATGGCTCTTCCTCAGAAGTTTGGAAATAGAAATACCTTATGATCCAGCAATTCCTCTACTTGGTATTTACCCACAAGAAATACGAGCCATAACACGAGTAGATATATGCACACCAATGTTCATAGCAGCACTATTTACAAGAGCAAAAAGATGGAGATAGCCAAAGTGCCCATCAACTGAAAAATGGATAAACAAACTTTGGCACATACACACAGTGGAATATTGTGCTGTCT